GCAGTTTTCAGAAGAAGAAATCAAAGCTATCTATAGTCATGTAAAAATGCTCTAAATCACTACTGATTAGAGAAATACAAATTAAAACAACTCTGAGGTACCACCCCACACCTATCAGATTGGATAATTATACAGAAAAGAAAAATGACAAATGTTGTAGGAGATGTTAGAAAATTGAGACATTAATGCATTGTTGGTGAAGTTTTGAACTGATCCAGAGGGCAATATAACTGTGCATACATATCCTTTGAACCAGCAATACCATTACTAGGTCTGTATCTCAAAGAGATCAAAGAAAAAGGAGAAAGACCTATATGTATAAAAATATTTATAGCAGCTCTTTTCGTGGTGGCAAAAAACTGGAATTTGAGGATAGCCTATCAAAATGGCTGAACAAGTCATGGTATATGATTGTGATGAAATTCTATTGTGCTATAAGAAATGATGAGAAGGATGGTTTCAGAAAACCTGGGAAGATTTATGTGAATTGATGCAAAGTGAAGTGAACAGAACCAGGAAAACACTGTACACAGTAACAGCAACATTATATAGCAATATAATAGCAATAATAAACTGTGAATGACTTAGCTACTCTGATCAATACAACGATCCAAGACAATTCCAAAAGACTTATCATGAAAAATGATATCCACCTCCAAAGAAATAACAGATGGAGTCTGAGTGCAGATTGAAGCATAATTTTTTCACTTCATTTTTCTTAATTTTATTTTTATTTCTTTATTTTTTTTTTTGCAAAATGGCTAATATGGAAACATGTTTTACATGATTTTAAATGTATAACTGATATCACATTTCTTGCCTTCTCAATGGGTGGGGGAGGGGCAGGAGGAAGGGAGAGAATTCAATACTCAAAATCTTTTTTCAAAATGAACGCTAAAAATAAATGAGTTAAAATTTTTTTTTCTTAAAAAGGGTATTCAAATATTCCAGGCAGGTGTTAGAGAAAACCAGTATCAAGGTAGTGAAAGTGAGAATAGAGAAAAGGGGATGCCTCCTTTTTGCTTTATATTCCCAGCACAGTGCCTGGCACAGTGTAGGTGTTTATAGGTGCTTCTTGATGCCATGAAGGTAAGGCTCAAAAGGACTTTGTTATCAATTGAAAATGAGTAGTAAAAGAAGAAGTCCCAACATTTTCAACAAGGGAGAATAGGTAAATCATGGTGCCAGTGTCAAAACAGTGAAGTCTAGAAAACGTGTCCCAGAAATCAAGGGATCCTATCATTAGAGAGACAGGAGACTACAAGTATCTGATGTTGCATTTGTAATCAGATAAGATTTTGTTTAATTGTTTTTCTTTGAACAAAAGAGGCTTTTGTAGTGGGGCAGTGAGAAGCAGAATCAGGAAATGTCCATGGTCTAAAAAACAAAAGTCATTAATGAAATATTAAAGAAAAAAGAACTGAAGGGAAGTTACAAATTCTGGGAGCAGAGGACATTCAGTAATATCAAATACTGCAGAGGTCAAGGACTAAGAGAAGTCACTGTATTTGGTGATTAGGCACAAATCACCATTTGAATGAGCCACTTGAGTAGAATGGTGGGAACTAGAGTCACTGCACTGAGTTCAGGAGACACGTAAAGATGAAGTGTCAGCCATGATTACAGACAACTTGTACAAAGGAACTTGGCTATAAAGGGGAGGAGAGATAAAGGACTATAGTCAGAAGGAGTAAAAGATCAATGCAAGGCTCTTTAAGCACTAGGGAGATGAGCATGTTTTACTGGCAGACAGGAAGGAGGAGTCAAGGGAGGAGGAGAGTTGGAAGATTCATGTTTTTTCCTTGGTTTCTCCTCCATTTCCAAACACCCAAACTAGTTTATAAATTCACTTCAGTATGGGGCAGGGGAGGGAGGCAGCACAGTATGGGAGAAAGAGTATTGTACCAGAAGTCAGGAAACCTGGTATGGTACAGTGGAAGAATGTAGGGTTTGGGGTGAGAGTATTTGGGCTCAAATTGGCCAATTTACTCCCTATGTGACCTTGGGCAATTCACTGGACCTCTTTGGGTCTTAGTATCCTCATCTGTAAAACGAAAGGGCTAAATGAACTGGTGGTCTCTAAATTCCCTTGCAGCTTAAAGTCTCTCAAGGTCCAGATTTGCCATTAATTGGCTCTTTGATCTTTAGCAAACCTCTTCACCACCATGGGCCTCAGTTTCCTCATCTGTAATATGAGAGGTTTAGGATAGATGATCTCTAATTTCTCTTTCAGCAGTAACATTCTACAACTCAGTTTTGTTCAAGATGTTGTCAAAAATATCAAATGGTCCAAAGTAGGGACTTTAAAAGGGTCCAACGAATGTGGAGGCACTTATGCATCTTGACAGAGAAGCGGAAAAGAGACAAGATGACTCAACATATTCTTTGGTACATATAATGAGTATGTCACCAACATAATATCAACCTTCAAGGTTTCTCTACCTAGGGTCCATTAACTTGTGGTTTTAAAAATATATATTTTTTGATAACTGTATTTCAATATAACTGGGTTTCCTGTTTAATTCTATGTATTTTATTTTCTGCACTTAAAATCATTATTCTAAAAAGAGGCTAAAAGGTTTCACTAGACTGCCATAGGAGTCCATGCCACAAAAAAAAGATTAAGAACTCCAGCTCCAGGGGCAGCCAGGTGTTTCAATGGATAGAGCACCGGCCCTGAAGTCAGCAGTACCTGAGTTCAAATCCGGACTCAGACCAAACACTTGACACTTACTAGCTGTGTGACCCTGGGCAAGTCACTTAACCCCAATTGCCTTAAAAAAAAAAGAACAAAAAAAAGAACTCCAGCTCCAAAGTGAAATAAAAGTCTTTGGAATATAGATTGTATCAAACTTCTCTGTCTGAGAAATTTGCCTAGAATTGCATGTGAAATCCAACTTCTTAGGTAATTTCATAAGGGACTATCCAAGCTCTTCAATTTAGGGCAAGAAGGGTAGGTGAGAACAAGGCCCTATAGTTCAGCCAGTTGAATAAAGGATTTTTTTAAAAGGCAATTGGGGTTAAGTGACTTGCCCAGGGCCACACAGCTAGTAAGTGTCTAGTGTTTGGTCTGAGGCTGGATTTGAAAGCAGGTCCTCCTGACTTCAGGGCTGGTGCTCTATCCACTGCACCACCTAGCTGCCCCTGAAGGATGTTTTTTGTTTCTATACAACTTCCATGTAGTTGAACTTGGAATGGAGGGCAGGTATTCAGTAGTTAATTCAAGCTGAAATGGGATGACCCTATGTGGACCAAATTGAAATGGTGCAATTTTCAAATAGAAATGGAATTTTTGAAAAAGAAAGTGTTTTGTATACTTTAATGTACTATATAAATGTTAATTATTTTCATTCTTAGCAAACTAGTCACCTCAACCTGGGCATTATGGTTTGAAACTAACATCTCTCAAACTCACCACTCAAGACCCTGTCAACATTTTTGTTAGAAGCTAAAGATGAATCACTGTCAAATGCCCATATGCTGACCTTAAGCTGCATATCTACTATGCAAGGACAAAGAATGAACTGACCAAACATATGACTGAGCAAACTTTCTCATTTTTCCAATGGAAAGACACCAATTACTAAGTTGCTTGGTGCCTCAGATTCTCAAGACACACTCCTAACTCTTTATTTTGTTTTTAACTAACCAATTAGTCAATAAGCATTTATTGAATGCACAGCCCTGTGCTAGGCTGTATAGGGAATAAATAAGAAATGGGATACATAGTCCTTGCTCTCTGGTGGTATATAATTAGGGTAAGGAGATAAGATTAGCATATAATACTATGTGTGACACACCATCCTAGGCATTGGGGGAAGGGAATACAAAGATGAAAAGACATAGTTCCTACCCTCAAGAAGTTTACAATATAGTAGAGAAGATACACAAATAACATAGAATGACATAAGAGCCCATTATCAAGCCATGAATAAACAAATTCAAAGAAAAGGAAAATTATTTTCAACACAAAGTGTTCATAAACTGGCATCTGAGTTAGGCCTTGAGGAATGTGCAGGATTTCAACAGGTAGAGATAGTGAAGGGAAGGGCACTCCAGAAATAGGGAATAGGGGAATAGCGTGAAACAAATACATTATGAAAATATGAAGGGATTTCTCATGCCACCCCCAAACAGCCCCTCCTACTTTATCCTACTGGCTGACTCCTTAAGCTCCAAAGCATACCTTTTATTTTGTATTTTCTTAGCATTATAAATATGTATTTCATAGCATTTTAATACATGCACACTTACACGACTATGGCTTAATGATTCACTTTACAAATTGTAGTTGGACCTCAATAAAGCTGTGGCAATAAAGGCTGGCTTCTAATGAGGCAGTTTAAGATGGGTGGCTGGGAGGGCTGACCCAAACTAAGCTGATTGCTACTAATGCTAATGCTACTAATAGAGTATTACTAGTAACATCAATAATCTAGGTTATTTCTTCTCTCTTTCTCTGCCTTCCATCCACTGATCAGAAATGACTAACTAACATCATATATAAAATCACAGAATTTTAGGGCTGACTTTTAGAGATCATCTCCTCCAACTTCCCAACTTTATAGAGGAAAAAACTGATTATTTGTGGCTCTCTGGTAAGGGAGACCTTGGAGAAGTAATACCAGGTTATAACAAAAGCTATGAGGAGCCACCATGCTTTTCTTGAGCTTGCAGTAGGACTGAATTTAATAGTAATCAATCAATCAATTAATCAAAAAGCACTTAGATATAGAGATTTCACAACTTTCCCCGATTTCCAGGTTGACGACTCTACTGGTGAATTCAGTATTTAATTAATAACTTTTGATTTTAGGATCGTCATGTTTCTCAGTCTGAATGCTGCCTCTGCCAACCATTTTTGCCTCTACCAAAGTTTCAGTTTTTTTTTCCCTTAAAGCCAATTTAATTCAATTCAAAAGACATTTAGTAAGGGCCTACTATGCACAGGGCACCATACCAGCCAACACTTGGGTACCAATTAGTACTTAATGAGTTACCTTTCAGTGAAGCTTGCTCCAGAGAAGAGAGGAAATGAACTATTCTTTCTGCGTCAGGAGCCTGGGTCACCTGCCGTGCCAGAACTGAACAAGAAAAGCAACTCCCTTAGGGTTCGTGGCCGCTCCTTCTATGTTCACTTTGCCACAAAATAGGATGTTAGAGCTGGAAGGGACCTGAGAGCTTATCTAGTCCAGTGGAATCCAATTTTTTGGTCGTGTACCCCTATCAGCAAAAAAAAAGAATGCACCCCCAATATATGTATATTTATTTATAAATTATATCCATGTACTACTATACTAATAATCATACACTTTATAAAAAACTTACATAAAAATAGAAATAAAAAAGTGTAAGATAAAGATGAAATAGTGTTTGATCCCAGAGTCAACAGAGACACTGGAGTTTACTGAGTAGGTAACTGACCACAGTCAAATGTGCACTTTCAGGGAATCACTTCTGCAGCTGTGTGGAGGATGGACTGCAGACAGGGAGACTAGAGGCAGAGAGATTAAGTAGGCACTCACTGCAATGGTATAGGTGTGAGGGAAGGGTCAAGAAGGTCTGACCTTGGATGGCAGAGATGTGGAGGCTGAACTGATTGGAAAATTTGGAGCAAGGGAAAGTGAAGAATGAAGATGACACCCAGGCTGTGAAGTGAGGTGATTGAAGGATGGTGGTGTCCTTGCACGAATGGGGAAGCTTGGAAGAGGAGTAGGATTGGGGGAAAAGATAATGTAATGATAAGTGAGATGTGGATGACCACAATTCAACCATACCTGCTCATCTTGCATGACTTACAGTCTTGCCTAAAATGAAAAGGGGGGAAGCAGGGCTCTTATTCACTAGTCACTAACCCTGAGCACAAAGCCTGTCTTAAAAGGGCACCTGACAAAGACCAAAGGTGATATGGAGGGCCAAATTTTCTCAATGGCCCCTGTGGAACAGCTGCTATGGGTGCCCAGGAGAAATGAGAGGCCAATACCTGGCTCAGAAGGGCTGGGGGGGTGGGGGTGGGAAGGAGAGGTCAGGAGCTTGTATGTGTTTGTGTTGGAATCAAACCTCATAACTGGCTACTAAAATGAGAGTGGGATGTGACCCATCTCCCCCTTCCCCTAATGGTTGATAACATACCCTTTGAAGTCAATCTATGGTTTCACAAGGGTCAGTCCATGACCCCCTAAGGGTAAGGCCATAGATCCCCAGTTTGACCACTGGTCTACTACAAACTCTTCATCTCACAGATAAAGAGGCTGAGGTGTTTTACACAATGTCATGCAGGTGATGAGTGAGAGACTCAAAATTAGAATACAGACCCCTTGATTCCCAATCCAGTGCTTCTTGACTAAAATGGAGTATGCTCATTGCTTTCCCCTACTGCTTTTCCACTGTCTACCATTAACTACTCTCTATAATTTAAGATTGCTCTTAAATCCAAATTACAAAAGACAAAGAATAAAATTTTGTAGCTCCTACTAAGATCTTGAATGGATCTCATTCCTGAATTTAAATACCGTTAAGTATTGCTAATATTTCTAGGTGCTTCAATGCATACAACAGGCATTGGCGATTTCATCATTTAGGTACTCCTTTCACTGATGCAGACCACAACTCCTTTATGTCTTTATATATAAGTGGAAAGCCATAACAAAGGGATTTAGTAAGTTCCTACTGCGTGGAAGACAAAAGGCAGTGCTTGACTGGTTTTTATGACATGCTGTGGCCAAAATAATTTATCTGGTGACCTAGGGGTGGGCTGATGATGAGCAGCAATGTATACCTTGGAGCACAGAGGTGACCCCAGCTTCTTAAAGGAAGACCGTCAACTCTGGTAGGCATTACCAAACTGGAGGGGCTTTAGAAACAACATAATATCTTTGCTGTGATCTGCTTGACTGCCTTTAGAGAGCTTACCACCAAGCTGGCTGCAGAGGGAAGGATTTTTTCAGCTGCAGCATTTTTGAAAGACCACCTATTTCATGGTTTTTGTTGTTGTTGTTTTTTATATGAGGCAACTGGGGTTAAGTGACATGCCCAGAGTCACACAGCTAGTGAGCGTTATGTGTCTAAGGCCAGATTTGAACTCAGGTCCTCCGGACTCCAGGGGTGGTCCACTGCATCACCTAGCAGCCCCTGAGACCACCTATTAATCTGCAGTAGAGTTGCTACTTGCCTTGGCAGTGGAAGTATCTAAACTGATGAAATCATAAGTCCTTGAAGGATTGAGAAGGAGCTATCCAAATTCTCTCGCTGACCCACCCAACCTTGCAGCATTTGATAGATGAGGAAAAGTTGAGGGCTAGAGAATTTAAGTGACTTCTCAAGGTCACACAGGCAGTTAAGGGCACACCCAAGCATCAGCTCCTCCACAGTAGGGACCACACAAGCTCTTTGTGTTGTATCTGCAGAGCACTTAGTGTTCTGCATACAATGAGACAAAAAAAAATCAATAATATTTATGTTGTTAATAATAATGAATGAGAAGTAAAATATCTAGAAGAGAAATTCCCAAGGAATTTTGTATTCTTTAATGAGGGAGATGCTAGAAAAGGGACATTCTGAACTTGGTTTCAACACACACAAAAACTTTTTGATGGTAATCATTCACTTTCACCAGATGGGCTGTCCTTTGTTTCAAACTTCCTCTATGCAAACTTACCGAGATTCTCTGCTTTTGGTCCTTTCCTTGGGTGTTTGAGTTAAAACACAAATCTGCCTGGAGTGAGTCCTGAAGGCACAGACCTCCCTTTCCTTGTGTTCTCCACTAGATGACAGAAAAGCCAGGCTAAATCTGAGCTGTTTCAATATAGATCCTGGTCTCCCTAACAAGGCTCAGGCTTGTCCTCATTTGTTATGACAGGACCAAGAGGTTTGACAGAAGACCAGCAGTTTCTAAAATAATAACTTTCCCTGAGAACAGAGGTAGGAGAGGATGAATTTCCCTACCACCAGACACTTTGGAAGATGGTAAAGCCAGGTAGTAGCTGCTTCTCCCAGAAAAAAACAAACAAACAAACAAGGACGCCAGTCTGTTCAGAACCATGGATGCAAACGTTTCCACCAGGAATGGAGATTCCACTTACCGCAGTGAGACTGGAAAACCTGGGGCTTGACTACCTGATTGCAGAAATTGCATACTACAAGATAGAAGTCATCATGTGCTGGACAGTGGCCAAATAAGTGCATATCTGTGGGGAAAAGGAAAAAAAAATGTAAATAGCAGTTACTTCTGTTTTGGTGTAAAATCTTGTTGACAGCTCTTTGAAGACAAGTTTTCAAAAACAACAGAGAAACCTAAGAATTTTTACTAAAGGGAAGCAGTTTGTCATAACCCAGCTCTTCCATTCTCAAAGTGATTATTTTACTTAAAGGAGGCCTCCTCATGTTGCCCTTAGAAAGTCCTTTTTGTCCACTTCTAGAGCAGTGTTGATAAGGGTCCCTGAATGGTGCAACATGTGGACTTTTTCCTGGCCTAAGAGCAAGCAGAATGCTAGTAGTCTTCTTCCCTCATTACAGATTTTTTTTTGGATCAAATCTGTGATATTATTAGTGTAGGGAACTCCCATAAAGAAGACTCCCTCTACCAATGTAGATTATCTACCTGCTCTGAAACTTAGTCTTGGGGAAGTGCCTGGAGCATTGAGAAGTTAAGCCACTTGCTTGGGGTCACACAGCCAGTATGTATTTCTCAGCCCTTCGGGACTCCATGGCCAGCGATATACCTTGCCATGCTGCCACTCAATTCAGATTCATGTTTCTGTAAATGAGACTGTCCAGGGTTTGGTAAAGTTCCCCCCAAAATAACAGCAGCTTACATTTATAGTGTTTCACACTTTATAGTACTTTCCTCACTACATTGTGAGATAGTACTATGTCTAATATCCCCATTTTATAAATGAGTAACTGAAGCCCAGTACATTGAAGTGATTTGTTTAAGGTCATACAATAAATACCAGAACTGGGACCTTAAAACCAGGTGTTCTGACCCCAGGTCCAGGGTTCTTTGCCCTACATCAAACTGATGTTATATGGGGACTTTACCATTGGTTTTAGACCTCAGAATACTGTATTGTCAGGAGCTCAGTCTTAACAGGGTAGCTTAGCATCTGCATTCTTTAAAAACTGATCCTAGAGACCAGAAATTAAGTGATCCTTCTCAAGAGATTTTCCACATCCCATGGGCGAGGGGCCAGGCAGAGCATGGATCATAGATTCACAAATTTTGAGATGGAAGGTTCCTTGGAGGTGATCTAATCCAACCTGCTTAGGTTACAGGTGAGGAAACTAGTCCAGGGAGGGTAACTTGCCCAAGGTCACACATGTAATAAGTGCCAGTGCGTGGATTTCAACCCAAGACCTCTGACTCTAAATCCAGCATTCTTTCTACTGTGTCATGTTGCCTTTCTCTTACAGAAGGCAACCAATTCATTGTCAACATTTTAAATTAGAGAGAGGGGTGGAGTAGCTAGGAAATCAGTTATTACCTTTCCTCAAAGTCACCTATATATCTCCACACATGTTCAGTATATTTCACAGGTCAGTTTTATGAGTGGCTTGTCACTGAAGAAAAAAAAAAGCCCACAAAGGCTGAGTTGCTCGTGAAGCATGGACGCTCTTTCAAAACCTTCACAAATGCCTCAGCACAGCCTCTCTCCCCTCCCCCCTCCAATTTCTTAAAGAGAAATAAACCCAGTTTGTTGACAACATACCAAAGTGCTGAGGTTCACTGTGGTAGGAACAAGCTATCCTAGAAGAGGTTTCAATTTTTTTTCTGGAGGAGAATCCCCAATGGTGATGCCCAGGAAGGAGCTCTCTCAAGCTATGCTCATAAAAGGTTAGCCAGCTGAGTGAGTCACTTGCTCAGCTGGTTGGTGGGTGCCTAGCAGAGAAGTTCCCTTGACAAGTTTCATTAACTGCATTTGAATTCTTCCCGTTTTCCTCTTCAGCCAATGAAAAACAGTGGGCTGGAAGTAAGGAGGTCTGAGATGACTAACACAGACACCTCTGGAGAGGGAGGCCAGCAGAGAAAAAGGCTCAGTGAGAACTGGGTAGGGACTTCCTATGCCAAGGGAGAGAGGAGGGGAAGGAACGATAGAATTTGGAATTCAAAACTTTTTAAAAATTGTTTTTAACAGGCAATTGGGAGGGGGAAATGAAATATAATTAAAAACAACAACAACAAAGAACTGAGTAGTACATTATCTCTAATGATGGAAGCCTAGATTAGGCCAGTGTCAGTAAGAAGGGCAGGTAGGCATCAGTGCTCTAGGTTTAGAAGTCTCACTGGCAGAGACATTAAGAATTAGTAACAAATGCCCCAATAGACATGTGGTCAAAAAAGGCTATGAACAAACAGTTCTCAAAAAAAGAATTATAAAATGTGAAAGAATGCTCCAAATCATTAAGTATAAGAGAAATGCAAATAAAACCATCCCTGAACTTTCACCTCATACTCAGCAAATTGGCAAAGGTGATAAAAAGATGGGAAGAGTCAACAATAAAGGGGTTGGGGAAAGATAGGCACAGGGAATGTTTTGTTGGTGGGACTATGAATTAGTACAACCATTCGGGAAAGCAATCTGGAGCTATGAAAATAGAAGGAAATTTAAAACAAATGATGTGAAAACAAAAGATACCAATAAATTTTATTCTATTAAAAAAACTTCAGTGACAAATTTCTGGCAAAATAATGGAGACAATAGTATGTTTTGTTTTCGGAAGTGGTGGGAGTCAAGAAAATCTTCCTTCTCCCTTCTCCCTTCCCCCCCCCATAAGCTCAGAATTAGGAATAGCTAACAGTGACACCAGCACATGTCATTCTTGTGATGCAGATGCTCTCAACAGAGGCAATAGCACTTTTTGAGGGACACATCTGGCAACACCCAAGCCATCCCTAAACTGAAAGTAAAGGAAATAAACTTTGTCCTCCAGGTCTCTTAGTCTGCTGAGACTTTTCTTGGTGTTCATTCAACAGAAATTTACTAAGGGCTTACTATGTGCAGAACACAAGTAGGGAGGTATGGCAATAAAATAAAATGATTTGTATCCTATGAAGCATGTTATGGTCTAGTACGGGAGACAAGGCACATATACAAATATCTGTAACAAGGTAGAATGTTCAGCAAGACAGAAAATACTATTCGTTTAGGGTAGGGATATCTTTCTTGGTTTCTCTTAGGAGTAATAACAGCTGCCAATGACAATGTATCTTTAGAGAAACTCTGTTACCAGTAAGTAAACGGTATTTTGGAAAAGATGGAAGGGTTAGTCTTGCCACCTTAGGTCTCAAATCAGAGCATCACAACCTAGCAAAGGAAGATATACTTCCTGAGCTATTCCATTAGCTGGCTTTGGCCAAGAATAACCACTATGGGATTTCTAGGACTGATTTTTTTTTAATTAATTTTTTTTTTAATTTCTAGGACTAATTGAGGAAGCTAGGTGGCACGATGGATTGAGTGCTGGGATTGGAATCAGGAAGGCCTGAATTCAAATTTTATCTCATAGATTTATTCTGTGTGACCTTAGACAAGCCACTTAAACCCTTTTAGTTTCAGTTTTCTTTAAAGAACTTTAAAGAACTACATCTGTACTATTATTAATTGAAGTTCTAAGTGGGAGAATAGACCCAAGAAATACGGTTTTATAAAAACAGGGAGAATCAGGTAGCTGTCCTAAGACTAGAGGCTCTTAAAGTTTTTGGTCTCATGAACCCCTTTACACAATTAAAAATTATTAAGGACCTCAAAGAGTTTCTGTTTATCAATATATCTAATGATACTTACCATATCAGAAATCAAAATTGTCAAAATTTTAAAACAGTTAATTCATTTAAGATAACGGTAATAAACCTATTATTTATGTCAACACAAATAACATTTAATGAAAAATAACTATTTTACAAAATAAAAAAATAGTGAGAAGAATGGCATTGTTTTATACAGTTTCACAAATTTCTTTAAAGTCTAGCATAATAGAAGACAGCTGTATTCTCATATTTACTTCTTTATTCAATCTAATGCCAAATTTGTTTTGGTTGAAATATATAAAGAAAATCTGGCCTCACACAAATATGTAGTTGGAGAAGGGAGGAGTATTTTAATAGGCAAGTAACATCTTACTATTATTAGGAAAAACGTTGACCTTTTGGATCCTAGGTTTGGGAACCACGCCCTAGGTGGAAGAAGTTATCTAGGAGTTGCAACAGTTTCTGTCCTGCTCCTGAAAGAGTTAAACCTAAGTTGGAGCATGGGATAGGGGAGGGTAGAAACAGTCTGTCAGAGAGAGGGAAAAGGGTCTTAGGAATAGTACAGGGAAAAGAACACTGGATTTGGAGTCAGAGAATCCGTCCTGACTGCCATGTGTGAAGTTAGGCATGTTATTTAACCTCTCTGGGCCTCAGTTTTCTCATCTGCAAAATAAGGGAGCTGGACTAGAAGACATGTAAGGTGCCTTGAAGCTCTAGATCTATTATGTGTGAACTTTATATTATTCTGTCCACAGCACTTTTTTTTGGAAGGGAGGAGTGCTTGTTTCCTTCTCCAGCTGGGTGATGTCAGTCACCTCCATTACAACCAATTTTCACTTTTCTGATGCTAGAAATTACACGAGTGGGAAACACCAGAAGCAAGAATGGACTTCATTTCCTATGAATACCACATTGCCTTATATTCAGGAGTGTGCTTCAGTCAGCTAGATTTCCAAGGTACAAATGTTCACATTGAAAATTTAATAATAGATTAAATTTTCAATGTGAACATTTATACCTTGGAAATCAGCAAATGCTAGAAATCAGGGCTTGATTTATTATTGCTTTGTTGATTTTCTAGACTTAAATTGATGGAGAAAATGTTAACATTCAGATTAAATTTAAAAGCGTGTGTTCATTTTTTTTTTGGTGAAGAGCTGGCTGTTAAACATTTACCAGCACATCACTGCTTAGATTCATATAGATCTTCATGGTTTTAAAAGTGCTTTGATACTCATTAGCTCTTTTGATCTTCACAACACCCTACGTAAAAAAAGTAGACAGGACAAATATTATCATTCCCATTTTGTAAATGAAGCAACTGAACATTAGAAAGGTTAACTGACTGCCCATGGTCATCCAGAGTCAATCATAGGTCTCCTGAATTCCAATTATCTTAGAATACTGAGACACCTTTGAGAACAGTTCAAAAACAGCACT